TTTTGCACTTTCAATTATGATTCTTCTCAATGATTTTTGATAAATTGATAATGAATTTGAGCATAAAAAAATGTAATTAAAGAGAAATAAAGTTTGAAGGCTATGGTTTTAGATTTTCTGTTCATTGTTGATTGTTAAAATAAATTTGGGCTAAGCTTAAGCTTTGAAAGTGGCCATGACATCGGCCCAGATTTTGGGTAAATGGAAATGAAAGGGATATTGTCCGCAGAGGCCTTAATTTTGGGAAAATAATAAAGTAGCAAAAGGAAAACTATTCGGAGATCAGAGGTCACAATTATCATGCCCTAATCCGTGTCCTTCTTTCTTAGTGGTTAGCAAGAAATTCTAAAGAAGATTCCAATTTTCACTTAATGAGGGGTATAATGGTCAATTTACTGATATTTGAACGCCCCATGCATCAACAGTGCTATATGGATCCCCAAAATTTAAATTGTTAAACTCAAATAAATAATTATATTTTTATCTTAAAAAAAAATTATTACCACGTATATTTGAATAAATACCCCATATCCAATGACATTTACAATGGTGTTAATTTGGAAAAATTTTTATGGTGTTAAAGGAACTTTAGGATCATTTTGACAAAAAAATAAAATCTATAACCCATAAAAAAAGATAAGAATATTTTTATTTATAATTTTTCTTTTCTACTTGTATCTCTTTATTTCTTTAAAATAAATTTAAGGAGTAACCAATAACATACTATCAGTTATTTTTTAGGATCACTTTAAAAAAAAACACAACAAAGAGAGGGAAAATAAATTCCACAACCCATAAAAAAATGATAAGAATATTTTAACAAATGATTTCTTTCTCCTACTTGTATCTCTTTGTTTTTTAAAATGAGTTCAAGGAGTAACTAATAAGATATTACTAGTTATTTCATAGGCATTATAAAATTAGTCTTAATTTGTATCCTTTTTCTTTAATGTTCATTATGAAACTAGCCTTAATACTCGCATTTCGCTACCAGGCCAAACTATTTATTTTGCTAAAAAAATGATGTTAAGCTACTGCAAGCATGTTTTTTTTTATAAAAAATATGCGACTCAAGTTATAGATTCAACTGGGTTGAATAAGCTGACTTTATTTTAATTAGATGAAAAATATAGAAAGTAATAGTGGATGGATCAAATTTAAAAAGAAAAATGATTAAAATAACATGTGAAAAAACATTTTTTTCAAAAAGAAACAAACCATGTATCTGAATTCACAACTCATTACACATGGAAGAACAAAATAGGATAAAAAAATGACATGGAAAACCGGTCCTGGTTAACTCAAGTTAGCATAAAAAACCTATAACCCCGATAATTGAGGCCAAATCAATCCAAAATATCCTACTAAATCCTCAATCTAGATCATAAAATTGAAATAACCCAATAAAAAAAATATTAAAGACAATTATAAAATATTTTTAAATAAAAAAACAGTGTTAACTTTTCAAATTCGTGATCCAGGTCATTAAATTTGAAGTATTATATTTGAAAAAATAATGAAACTCAATTTTCAATGAATCAAATATTGAAGAATTAAATTGAAAAAATAATTATATAAATGGATTCAAGAAAACATAAATTAAAAGAATGAAGACCAAAATTAAAATACAAAATAAATCTTATATTTGATTAAATGGTGAAATTAAAAAGAAAAATTAATTTAACAAAAAGATCCAAAAAAATAAAAAGAATGAGGATCAACATTGACATAAAAACAAAATTTTGATTAAATAGTGAAATTAAAAAGAATAATAACTTTTACAAAAAAATCAAAAAAATCAGAAATCAAGACTATGATGATCAAATTGAAAAACATCATAACATCAATTTAATTAAAGGATGGAATTAAAAACCAAAAAAGCTTTTATAAAAGGATCAAGGAAAAAAATAGATATTAAAAGAATAAAGATCAAATTATAAAATATAATATCTTGTAAATTGGGTTTGAATAGTAAAATTAAAAACAAATAAAACTTTTATAAGAAGAAAAAGAAAAAAATAAAAATCAAAATAATAAGGATAAAAGTTGAAATACGAGCCAAATTATAATTTTTGAGAGAGGAGAAAAAAAAAAAAAAAAAATCTTACTGGCAACAAATTAGACCACCAATAGTAATACACACCACTCCACATGAAAGAGAAAATGACAACATTTTCAGCAACATGATGTAATGATATTTTTAAAGACAAGGAAACACCATATGTAGCGTGTAGGAGCCTCCCTCTCACCTTCCAACATCGTACTTGTGTTTGTTTTATTTTTTTATATTATTATTATTTAGCTAAGTACAAAATTATCTCAAAACTGGCATAATAATAATGAAAAACCATTGTGAAAAAATAAAAAACCCTATTAACTTTAGTTTTACACATTTTGCTTTTAAGGATATTTTAGTTGTTTTATTGTACTTTTTAATTTTTTATTTTCTTTTTATATTTGGTCAAATACTAATTTTTCCCTCAACTAACATCACGATAATGAAAAAACTATCATGAAAATATGACAAAAACCTCGTGATGCTATTTTTTTTCTAATTGTATTCTAATCATTTTACCATAAAATTAAGATGAGAAAAAACTTATTTATTCATAGTTAATTTGATAATAATTAATAGTCTTTGTAAAAAGACTTCAATATTTTTGGAAATCAACATTATTTTTTAGTGTACGGTTGGAATATTTTCTCATGACTATTTATCTTCTTTCAATGTCGTGACTTTTGTTTCCAATTTTTACTTATATAAAATAAGAATTATAAATGTATTCTAGAAAATACTTATGGGTTCTTGAGGGCACACATTAGCTTTTCCCATCGTAAAATCTAAATTGTTAAATTAAAATCAACATGTTAGATTTTATCTCAGAACCAAAGAATTACATTAAGTCTAAACTGATTAATTAATCTTTATATTTTTTGAATTAATTTAATTCAGTTAATCCACAAACTAACTGATAGGTCTCAACCAAAGTAGTTAATAATAGCAAAAGAGAATTTCTCTTCGGACGAGGAACAATCCACAATTATGAATGAAAATTGGCATACTTTATTAATGCACTTTGTTGTTAAATACACACACACAGTGCTCATAATGTAGCTTCAGCATCGCCCCAGTACGTATACAGAATCAATTAGTTGGCTTGTGCAATCTGCAAGAACGACGTACATATGCTTATCGACCTCGTGGACTAGAGACTGGCCAATTTGATAATGAAGAATAGCTTGAAAGGGTGTCATCCCCATTGGGGGCATGAAAAGCTATATTATACCAGGATATATTCTGCCTATGGAAGTAGGGAATTCCACTTGCACGGTTGTTGATGAACCAAGCAGCGTAGGTACTGCTCTAAGCACTCATTGACCACTTCTCACTGTCAATCCGTTCGTGGGTGGTGGTA